CCCCAAAACCCCAAAACCCCAAAACCCCAAAACCCCTGAATAATTTTAGAATATTGAAATAATATTTTACTTTTCACAAAATTGTATGAAGTTTCTGTTAATAAGATTTTAATTTACTTCCAAATTATAGTATATTTGCATCCTATCATTTTCAAAACCTTTATTTACCTAAAATCCACATTTTAAAGAACTATAACTTTTTGCAGATCGATAATTTTCAAAATGTGGAAAAAGGAGATTCCTTTCAAACCGAAGCCAGTCGCGCTAAATGACTCTAGAAACGAGAAGAGGTATTATCAGAGTTCTTCCTCTAGTGAGCAGACACCTAAGTGAATTTGTGGTCTTAAACATAGGCATATTCCAGATGCAGATCCATCTAGGCTAAACTCTAAATTTAAATGCAAATTTTTAAAATAAGTTAGGAAAGAGACACTCAATTGTGAAATCTCCATCCCTAGAGAAGTCCTGATCTATTAAACCAAAGGAGGTCAACTTCAAGTCAATGGGATGAGAAGGATTGTTCAATCACATCCCACATAAAATTGATGACAAAATATGGGAAAATGACCGTGAAATGATCTTTTTCAAACGTAACGGTTCTGAATACATCGTTCAACCCAAAGCAATGCTTTACAGAGGAAGTATGTGTACGACCGAGCTGTTTTCTGACAAGCAATAAAAATGCAAATAATCAATGGGTAAGCATTTTTTAAATACCATAGGATCATTAAGAAGAAGCTATTGCAGCTAGACAAATCATCTCAAGCTGGAGCCACGAGGTAAATATTTTGTCACAATCTCTCTAGTAGGAATAAGTCTCAAATTGGAGAAAAGAAAGGACTCAAGTTCCATAGCTCCAACAGTGGCTGGTACCAAACTGTGTTTAAATCTCTAGGGTTTTCAATAAGAAAAAGTTTAAAAAATACCAACAAGGGTTCCAATTTCTCACACAAAATAATGAGAAAAAAGTAAATCTTTAATCATATTTGTAGAAAAAGAAATCTGGCGAGTTCGAAATTCCACTGCTCCCATGTTTACCAGAGAGAAGCAGACGAATTAAGAGGAATAAATCCAAGAGAGGCATCAGTTTGCCCTCAAAGAGTAATATCGCAACTGAAAGAAAACGGTCAGTAGTCAACAAGTCACAGGGCAGGCTGAGCAAGTACTCAGATATTGTCCTAAAACCACTAGATTATGTAAAAATTCATTTAATTCTGTAGAAAAAGAAGAGAAGCAGCAGGAAGCATCTCAGATCCAGACAATACTCCAGCATCAGTATGCCAAAGGGAAGAAGTGTCAATAGGGATAGAGCAAAGATAATATGTAGCAATAATAACCTTGTTAGAAGAAGTAGGTCTACTATCTTATCGTTCTAGTTTCCAGCATTGCCAGTCTGAACCGAGACACTCTCCTCAGAGCTTCCAGAGAAGGAATGATAGACCAGATAAGGAAGCAATATTTTGGGTAGTTATTATTTATTATCAATATAATTCCTTGCTCAGGGGTTTTGGGGTTTTGGGGTTTTGGGGTTTTGGGG